CACGTATGTCACATCGCCCATCGGTAGCAGGAGCCTGGGAAGTGTTTACATTTGATGTGGGAACCATTGAGCACTGTCAGAGGAGCCTTTTTAAACAGCCACTTCGTGCACAGGTGTCTGTGATGGTTTTTCCTGGTAATCCTCACCCACGGATGTTTTCCCATTGATTTTGAGGGCAAGTGGAAGCAGGAGTAGAGAGACAGAGGCCTGAGAAATACCCGTTGATTGGTTGCCTCCGCATGGCATGTGCCCTCACCGGGACCCGGGATCCAACCTACAACCAAAATCAAACCTGTGACCCTTCTGCCTGCGGGCTGACACTCAACCACCGAGCCAAACCAGCTAGGGCAGCAGAATTAGTTTAAGGATGCGTTTGTAGAATGATTAAGTTATGATTCATCAGCTTGGTAATGTAGGGTCATTAAAGTGTTTATGTAGAAAATGTATTAAAATGTTCACGACAGAGTTAAGTGGAATAAAACTAGGACACAAAATTACATACGTAATAAGATTAAAACTCAAATAAAAATCCTAACAGCCGTCCACAAAAACCTTTGGAGAATAGCCTAGAAAATTAGGTGGAAATCTTTGAAATTGTACTTTGGGAGGTGGGCTGCTGGGTGATTTTAAGTTTACTTTTTGGGTGTTTTCTAGACTCTGTATTACACTCACAGTGGGACCTTTGGTGTTAGGAAGTACATTGTACCTAGGACAGGCGAGCTGCCTGGTGCGGAGGCATGTGCACGTTTACCAGGTAGACGAGGCCTGCCCGTCACAGGGAGTCCGCCGCGCTAAAAGGAGTGTTTGGAATTAGCTTGAATGAATTTTGTCACTTCCAATATTTGGAGGAAAATTGCTTCCTCACAACGTGCAGAATGAGAATGGCTCCCACGTCTGATGCTGTGCCGTGGAATACCGCAGGCGCTTGGACATGGGCTGGGGTTTCCTGGTCTGACAGGAGGGGCCGGCAGAGCGAGGGGCTTCAGTCTTGGGGAGGAGGGCAGCCGGCATCGGGCATCGAGCGCAGTGGTGGAGCAGGTCCCGGGAGGCTCCGTAGAGCGAGCTCGGGCGCCTCGGGGCGCGCACGGTCGGGGAGGCTGAGGTGGTAGAGGGTGTGGACCGGTCACTGAGCAGGTGCTGCGGGGGCCTGCAGCGGGTCCTGGGCGGGGGGAGCACATGTGGTTTGGTGGGCGCCCCAGCCACGCGTGTGACACGGAAGGGAGATGTGGGAGGACGGGTACGGGCCCTGGGAGCACATGACACCCTCCCCTGAGGGGAAGGGCGGAGGTCAGGAAGCCATCCTGGAGGAAGTGGCGTCTGGGTGCCACCTGAAGGGGAGGGGACTGGCTGGGAAGGCCTGGAGGAGGGAGGGGCTGCGGGGAGGGGAGGCCAAGAGAAGTGAGGTTTGGCTGCCCTGGCTGGTGGGCAGTGGTGAGAGGAGCCAGGGGAGATGCGAGGAAATCCTGGTGCCCAGTGTCCGAGCCACGGCATCAGACAGGAAGTGAGCTGGACGTTCGAGGCCGGGGCACAGGGTTAAGCAGTGGGACCACCCGTCTCATCGGGGAAGGTGACGTCGGGCAGGGTGAGCGGGGGGCTTTTGTACCGGGAGGGAGGGTGTCAGGGCCTGGCACGGGGTCCTGCTCCGGTCGGGGAGGGAGTAGGCTTTGGGGAGGCCAGGATGGACGCTGCGCAGAAAGGTGGACGTGCCGGCTCTTCCCAGAGGCCTTGCAGGGGGACTTGCGCTGCAGACTTGGGCCTCGCTGTGCGAGCGAGCAGGCGCTGGGCACAGACCCTGGCTAAAGCAGTTAACCCGTCTGAATGGTTTAAGGTTGGAGAAGGCTGTCCAGCTCCGTCAGCCTTTCACGTGGAGGGCCTGGCTCTGGGCAGTGTCGCGGTGTCTGGGTTCATCGGGCTGAACTACCTCTGAGCAGGGGCGGCCCTCTGAAGGCTGGGGCCTATTGTCAGTCCTGTGGTCAGGCTGATTGGTGTGATCGCTGTTGGTGCCGTCCAGCTGGTCCCTCCCATGAGGAGGTCGGCCAGGCCGGCAGAGGGGGCCCTGTCTCCACCCCCTGGGAGTCCGCCTGGCCATTGGGAGTTGTCTTAGTGCATTCACGCTGCGTAACAAACCGCCACAGCCTGGGTGCCTCAGACAACAAGCATTCATTTCTCTCAGCTCCGGGCGCTGCAAGTCCAAGGTTAAGGTGCCATGGAGTCAGTGTCTGGTGAGGGCCCTCCTGTCCGTAGCCAGCGTCTTCTCACTGAGTCCTCTGTCCTCCGGCGGAAGGGTGAGGGGCTCTCTGGCTGCTCCCAAAGGCTCCATCTCCCGATACCCTCACATGGGGTCAGGTTTCACTGTGGGAGTGAGGGGGCAGGGCGGGGGGACACCAACAGGCAGTCCCCCTTCCCAGGGGCCCCCAGGAGAGTCTGACCAGCCCCGCTTTGGCCCCTGTTCACTTCGTTCAGGTCACAGCTGTGGGCCTTCGGGAGCAGGTTTGCCCAGCGGAGGCCTGAGCCCGGCAGGCTGGCCGTGCATGCCGGCGAGGCACTGGTGGCGTGGCGTCCTGGCGCCCGTGGAGGGACTTCCGGGAGGGGACAGGACCCGGAGTTGAAATGGTTCGGAGGAGTGATGAAGGAAGGGCGCAGGGTGGGACTGGCTTGGACAGTTGAAGCCATTTAGCCCAGGTTTAAGCATTAGTCCCGTTATCCACGGGGAGGAATCGCCGGAGACCAGGCTTCAATGGGTCCCTTTCTCCTGGGGAGATTTTAAGAACAAACCTGACATGGCATGTCGGCAGCAGGCAGCGCCCGTGCACTGCTCCCGGCAGGCGGGTGTGTCCGAGCCTCCGTTCCCACTGGACGCGCCGTCTGTCACCGGAGCATTTATCTTTTATGCCCCTGCAAGTTCAGCTTCATAAAAGAATCATTGCTTATTTCCCATCCTGCTCTGCGGTGCCGCCCGTGGTCCTGTGACGGGTCTTAGGAAGAGGCCTTGACCAGAGCACACCTGCCCCGAAGGGGATGCTCCCTGCGGCAGCCCGTTCATGAAGGCCACCCGCTCCTTCCTTCTGGCTCTGTGCGCCCTCTCTCAGACGCACCTTCCCAAGCACAGTGCGAGCGCGCAGGGTTAAGCCTCAGGATTTAAGCGTTTCACGGATTCCGAGTACTTGGCGTCAGCTGGCAAGCAGCCAGGCTTCTCGGCTCACTGGCGGTCAGTAACCTCGGCCTGGGGGAGGCGCGGCTCCCAGTTAGACCAGGGGAGCTGCAGAACGCAGGCTTCCAGCTTCATCACATGAACTTCAAGTTCCCAAGGGCTGCTGACAGGTGCTGGGTGCAGGCGTGCGGCTGTGAGGAACCCGTTTGAGAGACCTGCCCAGCTCTGAGGACCTGGGGGTGGAGGAGAAACTGGCCGGGCAGGTCTGAGGGGGAGAGGCTGGAGGTCTGGTGTGTGGTGGCCGAGAGGCGGTGAGATTGGATAGAGCCAATGCCAGCACCTGCCCCACCTGAAGGTCGGGTGCATTTAAAGAGTGCGCTTGTGTGTGTGTGTGTGTGTGTGTCTGTGTCTGTGTCTGTGACTGACAGCCTGTCACTGAGCACAGAACACACGCGGTGGAGCGGTGGCTGAGGTGTGAACCTCGGGCCTTCGGTGGAACCTGAGGGAGTTACTTCTCTCCGTCCGCTCCTCATTCTGTTTGCTGTGCAGGCTGTCCATGTTGGCAGCCAGAAGTCTGGATCGTGCACTGGGATGGTACAGCCGGTCTGGGGGGCAGAGGCCTGGGGAGCCCTCGGGGATGCGCTCACCAAGTGGAGCTCCCCCTGCCCTGACTGACACTCCCTCCTGGCTCCGGAGGCCTGACAGCGCTCTGCTTCGCCTGGAGTCTCCCTGGGGCCTCTGTGGGGGCGCACCCAGCCATGCAGGCGGGGAAGGAGGGACAGGCACAGGAGGCGCATGTGCAAGCCCGAAGCAAAGCGGGGCGCGGGGGAGACCAGGCAGGACTTGGCGTTTCAGGTTCGGGACCTGAAGTTCGTCAGGAAAGCACAGGTCAGACGCGCCTGATCCACTCGCCATGTGTGGTTCTCCCCGGGGACTGCGGGCGGCTCCGACCCCGTGTGCTGGCTGCGGGAGCCGCAGGATTGCCCTTCCGAAGCCCCGGGCGGGGTGTTGCTTTGCTTCTGGTCCTGTATGCGGGCGGCTCTCATCACGCCCCGGGGCTTCTGCGGGCTCCTTTCCCGCCCGGTGTGCCAGGTGCCTGTCCAGGAGGGTGGTGCTGGCCGTGACGCGCTGTGCCCAGCCTGGCACCTGCACCTTCTCTCCTCACACCTGCACCCCGGGCCGCCCGCGGAAGACAGGGTCCCCCCGCAGGAGCAGGGCAGGTCTGTGCGCTCACACTGACACCCGCTTCCTCACGGATGGCAGCAGCCTGGACAGAGGCCCTTTCACTGTCTCTGTTTCTGTCGCAGGAGCTGGAGTGGCGCCCGGGCAGAGTCCTCAGCGGAGGAGCCGCACCCCTGGGCCCGAGGAACTGCCTCTGGGAAGCTCCGGCGGACGTGCAGGAGGCGGACGTCACGCTGAGTCTCCCCCGGGGGCCTGCGGGCGGCCCAGACCCGCTCGGAGCCGCTCAGCCTCTGCGGCGGGGGACGCTGTGCACCGCCGTCTGCGCGTGAGAAGTGCGAGGACCCCACACAGGGAGCTTTGGGGCTTCCAGACGCCGGCCGCGGTCTGCCTGTGCCATGTGGACACTCAGGACCCCAAGCGGAGCTCTGCGTTCCTGAGCCGGGTGCGCGCGGCGGGCGTGTCACTGCTAGGCGGTGGTGCGGAGTGGGGAGCACTATGCAGGAAGAAGCCCTCCTCTGGAAGGCAGGCAGGGCAGAGCTTAGGCCGACCTTGAGCCCCCCGAGCAGAGGAGCCTGAGATAAGCTGCCAGCATGGCAAGGTGCGAGGCTCTGTAGCCGCAGTAGCCGCAAGGACGTTCTCCTCTCAGCCAGGATACCAAATAGGAACCATGATCTACAAGTGCCCCATGTGCAGGGAGTTTTTCTCTGAGAGAGCAGACCTTTTCATGCACCAGAAGGTCCACACTGCCGAGAAGCCCCATAAGTGTGACAAGTGCGACAAGGGCTTCTTCCACATCTCCGAGCTCCACGTCCACTGGAGAGACCACACGGGAGAAAAGGTCTACAGATGCGAGGACTGCGGTAAGGATTTCAGCACCACGACGAAGCTCAACAGGCATAAGAAAATCCACACGGTAGAAAAGCCCTATAAATGCTACGAGTGTGGCAAGGCCTTCAATTGGAGCTCACACCTCCAGATCCACATGAGAGTTCACACAGGCGAGAAACCCTATGTCTGCAGCGAGTGCGGGAGGGGCTTCAGTAACAGCTCAAACCTGTGCATGCACCAGAGAGTCCACACCGGGGAGAAGCCCTTCAAATGTGAGGAGTGTGGGAAGGCCTTTCGGCACACTTCCAGCCTCTGCATGCATCAAAGGGTCCACACGGGGGAGAAGCCCTATAAATGTTATGAGTGCGGGAAGGCCTTCAGCCAGAGCTCCAGCCTCTGCATCCACCAGAGAGTGCACACTGGGGAGAAGCCCTACAGGTGCTGTGGGTGCGGGAAGGCCTTCAGCCAGAGCTCCAGCCTCTGCATCCACCAGAGAGTGCACACTGGGGAGAAGCCTTTTAAATGCGATGAGTGTGGGAAGGCCTTCAGCCAGAGCACCAGCCTCTGCATCCACCAGAGAGTGCACACAAAGGAGAGAAACCATCTCAAAATATCAGTCATATAAAGAGTTGCTAATAGTTAAAAATCTTAAAACCCATAAGTGCCACTAGGAAGGAAACCCTATGAATGAATACCTGCATTGACCCAAGAAATGGCCCCTGGAAGCCCAGGCAGAAGGTTCCTTTTGAGGAGGTGTAGGTGAGGCAGTTTTTTGTCCCTCCAAGTGTGTTCCACAACTCGATGTCCCTCCGGGCACCTGCCAGGATGGGCTGTGAGGTCCTAGCCATGTCCCACTCACAGGATGCGGGTGTTTCCTGGGCTCCCAGCCCGACACCTCCGAAGTTGAGTGCTACACAGGAAACCACGATCATCACTCAGTCTCCCGCATCCCCTCCTTCGGACACTTCCCCCATAGCGAGTGTCCCAGGTACCCTGTCAGGAGCTCATGACCCCCTTCTCTTGACCAGTCGTATCAGTTATGCATTTGAAAGGGCGGCTCCCCAAGGCAGTGCTCTGGAATTTCCACAGCTGCCATTGTCGGCACCCCACTTTGCCTGTGTGTCCTCCGCGTCCTCTCCCAGAAGCTCCGCCTTCCTAGATGGCATCACATCCCCTGCGGCTTCAGCGGCTCGGGCGCCACTCACGCAGCCCATCAGGGGTCATGGGCAGGCGCACGCTCCCTGAACCTTTTTTTTTTTAATTTTGTGGGTTCTCATCACTGTGTCTTCTGTTAGACTTACTTTCTATCGGCTACATCACCTAGTTTTAACTTGAACATTTTTTTTTTTTTTTTGGAAATAGCTGAATGTAAATAGGGCGGCAGGAGCAGGTGGAGTTGGAACTCTGTGCCCTCGGGGGCTCCCTTGTGACTGCATCCTCCTCGCCTATAGGGCAGCCTGGGGTGGGAGGGGGCAGGAGCCACTGCCCATGGACTCACCCTTATGATTCTGGGCAGTGGCCTTGGTTGAGGATCACCTATCGGTTCCCTTTTAGGCCTGAATGTCTATGCTAGTTACCCTTCTCTTCAGCCATCCATTCGGCGAGTATTTATTGAACACCCGTATGTGCCGGGCACTGCTGGTGCGGGAATGCCACTGAGGAAGACAAGGGCCTACTCATGAGTTACTTCCGGTGGAGGAGACAGGCGTGGGTAAACATAACGTAGTTTGGGTAGTGATTGCTCTGAAGACATAAAAGGGTGATGACGTAGAGGGTGGGAGGGTGGGGGTGGGACATCCTTAGGTAGCAGTTGGGCAAGGCCTTTCTGGGGTGGTGGTGGGCGGAGAGCCGAAACCACGGGGCGGGCTGTGGTGTTTGTGGACAGGCGGGCGCTGCGGAGTGAGCAGCGAGGGTTCTAGGCCTTTTTTTTTTTTTTTTTTTTTTTTTTTCCCACATTGATATTAAACACTCACGAGGAGGAACTCAAGGAATGTCTAGACGACCAAAAGTCCCCAGTGACAACACAGCGGCCGCGGCCAGCCTGTCTGCCCGTCCTGTCGGCGCTGGCCCCGCGCGCGGCCTTTGCTCAGGAAGTCGTGGGGAAGTTAGGGTCCTGGAAGCTGGGACGCGGTGGCCTGTCCCCAACTGGTGTCTCCACTGGCACAGCCGGAAGCAAGCCGCCCAGCGCAGCCACGGAAGTGCTGACGGAGCTCCAGTTTCTCCCGTGTGAACTTGTTTGACTGGAAGGGGTTGTAAGGGACACCTCCGCGTGGGGAGCGGGGCGGCCGGGAGCGAGGCGGCCCTGGCTAGCTGGTCCCGGTCTGGATTGGTCTCCAGCCGTCATTCCTGAGGGGCACGTCCCACACGCTCCCCTCCACCCAGAACGGCCCCCCCAGGCCGGCCCCGGCCGCGATTCACTGTAGCGTGTTCTCGTGCCCGCTAGCGCGGCGCGGGAAGCTAGGCGTCTAGTTGGCCGAGAGCCTGTTAGCATCACCGTAGTCTTTGCTAGGTTAGGACGTGGGTTTGCTTTTAGCTGATCACTGTTAGGACGGGAGCTGGCAGATCACTTAGCCTTCGGGGCCGGCTTCCTCCCCGGCGAGGACGCGCGGCCCGGACCGGCGTTCCCCGCCGCCAGAGTTCTATATTTCTACATAGCTGACTTATTTTATCATGCTGTCGCCGGGAAACGACTAACTTCTGAAGCTACTAATCTTACGTCGAGCTTTAAGTCCATGATTGTCTTCAGAAATATTATTTGACCTACAGTATGTCCAGATCAGTTTAATAAATTACTTTATAACGGCTCGGCGCCTGGTCTGTGGTGTGTGGACTCTGTTTGGCGTGTGCGTGTGGACTCCATGGTCAGTGTGTATGTGCGTGTGTGTGGACTCTGTGATCTGTGTGTGCATGTGGACTCCATGGTCAGTGTGTGTGTGCATGCGTGTGTGTGTGTAGACTCTGTGATCTGTGTGTGCGTGTGGACTCCATGGTCAGTGTGTGTGTGCATGCGTGTGTGTATAGACTGTGATCTGTGTGTGCGTGTGGACTCCGTGGTCAGTGTGTGTATGTGTGCATGCGTGCGTGTGGACTCCGTGATCAGTGTGTGTGTGTGTGTGCATGCGTGCGTGTGGACTCCGTGATCAGTGTGTGTGGGGGGGGCGTCGCTTGTGCACCAGGGTGACCATGTAAACATACAGTTCGAGCTGGACACCTTGGGTGAAGGGTGGGTGCTGGCCATGACCTGAGTGACATGTCTCCTCACGGTGGCGGGCGCCGGGAGACAGGACAGAGGATGTGATCGGGTGTCCAGCCCCGATGATGAGATCGGCCTTCGGCCCTAACGATCAGACATTCGGTGTCACGCGGCACAGCCTTCAGCCCTGCACCGGCGAAGCCATGGCATGGTTGGTGGGCGCTGCGGAGGCCACTGGGTGGAGAGGCGGAGGCCAGGGCGCTGGGCCTGGCGGCTGGAGGTCACGGGGACGCCTGCCGCGTTGCCTCTGGAGGCAGGAAGTGCAGGGTCCGGGGAGCTTGCACCTGTGCCGCTGGTCACCGCGTGTGCGTCCCCTCCCGGGGGCTCCCTCTGGCTGCAGCTCAGCGGCCCGGGTACGGACCACCCGCCGCTCCCCACCCGCTCGCCTGCAGCTGGCACGGGCTGTGAACATTCACGGGCGCGTGTGCGGAGGCTTCTCCCCACGGCTCTCACTGCGGTGGCTTTGGTGCCTCAATCTCAGCCCGGCCGGCGTGGCTCTATGGTTGAGGTCACGGTTCGATTCCCGGTCAGGGCACAGGCGGGGGGTGGGGAGGAGGGGGGAGCGGGTTCCATCCCCAGTGGGGGGCCTGCAGGAGGCAGCCGGTCAGTGCTTCTCTGTCGTCATTGACGTTTCTCTCCCTCTTCCTCTCCCCTCCTCTGAAATCAGTAAAAACGTGTTTAAAATAAACAGGCTCTTATCAGAGGTGGGAGCTGTCCCCACAGCTCCTGTCGTCTGGATGTCGCCCTAGGAGCTCCCCAGCCTCTGCTGGAGGATTCCTTGTGCCCCTTCCTGCCTTGGAGGGCTGGGAGGGAGGGCAGGAAGCCTGCAGGCCGGACCCAGAACTCCCTCCTGAACCCTCAGCTCCCTTTCCTGGCGGGGGCGCACTGCCCTGTGCAGCCACCAGAGGGCGCCGGCCGCCCGAGTGATGGGAAGTCCCCGGGAACGTGGCCTTCGGGTCCCTGCACCGTTTGTCCCATTGTCGCCCACGTGGGTACTGTCCCGTCCGTCCCCCCCCCCCTCCCAAGGCCGAGGTTCAGGGCGCCGTGGGTGGGGCTCGGGCCCCCGCAGAGAACGCGGCGGCGGCCACATCGGGTGGAGCTGGGGCCCCGGGGGACGAGCCGGGAGGTCCGGGAGCCCAGGGCGGCCACGGTGTCCGCCCCTCCGCCCCATTTCCTGGGCCGAGGCTCCAGGAGACATGCCCTGATCCCCCCCCCCCCCCGCCCCCCCAGGACCAGACTGTTGGCGGCATCGCCACCCACCGGCCACCGGGGGCAGCGCGCGCCACCGGTGACAGATTCCGCTCCAGCTCAGGACGGTCCCTGCTCTGCACCCCTGTCCCCTGACCTCCACGTCCGCCTGCCTCCTGGACCCCATCAAACAAGCCGTCCGTCAAACACAAACCTTCGCCTTTAAAAAGCTCGCTCTTTATCCATAGTGACCGTGAGGCCCAGAAAGCTGAGAGGCTGGCACCCGCCACTGTAGGCGACGTGTGTGTGTGCATGTGTGCGTGCGTGTGTGCGTGTGTGTGTATGTGCGTGCATGTGTGTGCATGTGTGTGTGCACTGTGTGTGTGTGCGCGTGTGTGCGTGTGTGTGTGTGGGGGGGCGGACGGTTTCAAATCGGGACGAGGTTGCGATGACACTGGGTGCGACTAGGTCTGTGTCCTTCACCCACTTTCACGGCCACCGATGCCCCTGGGTCCTCAGCTGCTCCCGAGAGGGCTCGGACCCATGTCCTGCACAGGGCGGCCCCTCTCCCCATCTGCCCCCCCCACACCCCCCGGGCCTCCCGCTGGGCGGCCGGCCGGGGAGCTGCTGGCCCCGCGGAAGGCGCTCAGTCTCGCCGCTCCCGGAAGCAGCGGGGGGTGAGCCGCCGGCTCTGGGCGAAGCTCTGATTACAGATTAGAGGCGAGAGCCGTGCACACCGAGGCCCGGGAGGATCCCACCGCCCCCAGGCCCGTCTTCCTCCCGCCGCCGCCAGACAGATGGTCTGTGCCCGCCCTGGCTCCCGGCCCTCGGCGCCGCAGGCCCATCGGCCTGTCTGGGAGCGCGGAGGGTTCTCTTCCTCCTCCCCAGCTGCCCCTGAACCCGCCCTGCCCGCCCGGCGGGCTCAGGTGTGGAAAAGCCGCCTACGAGCCGGAGGTGGGTCCCGGTCAGGGCACCATCCTCAGCGGGGGCGAGCAGGAGGGAGCTGACCAGTGACTTTCCTCATGGATGTTCCCCTCTGTCTCCCTCTCTCTTCCTCTCTGAAGCATGTGCGTGTACACACACACACACACACACACACACACACACACGCGCGCGCGCATTTGTCTCAGAGACGCGGCAGGTGGGCTCTGCCCCAGGGCCTGAGCCCCTGCTGTCCTCCTAGC